AAAAAATTTAAAAATTAAAAAAAAAAGAGACTCCTTGACAGATGTGCGTGTGCACGCACCTTCAAGTTGCCTATTGACATATGGCTGCCCTATTAATTTCAAAGGGTTTTCTTAGTCAAGGAATGCCCAAAGCTAGTTTTACCAGTTCCTTCCCTGCACATCCTATTCTTAAAAACATTGCCTATGCCAAATTTGGGGGATCTTTTAATCAGAAATCATGCCAAAACCATCCATGAATACAGCGGTTTTAACTTACTGCCCCTGAAGACCAGGAAATTATGGCTAGACTTGATGTTGCATTGCTGCCGGGATCCCAGAATTGGTGGTGTTGCTCTCCCAGCTCCGTGTCTGGCTGGTGCTTCCTCCAGCCCTTGGCAGCAGCTATGCTGGATGTGGGGCACCAGCGCATCTGCATCCCCATGTCCTCTGACCCTCTTGCTTCTGTGTTCCCCACTTCTGCTCTGGTTTCTTCCTCCTCTTGCCTTTTGCTATTGCTGGCTCCCCTTTTAACTGGTTTCTTTCAACAAATTGGAGTGCTGCAAACTGGCTAATTGACACCACTGCATGGCATCACTTCAGATGTGTGTGAGCCTCATGACAAGGGGAGGGTATCACAGGGACACAAATAAATGAAGAGGTGTATGGAAGAAAGGTAGAAAAGCAGTGGGTTGGATATAACACAGTACCTTTGTTTAGAGCAGCCACAGCCACAGATGGGTTAGCCACGAAGAGGAATGTAGGAAATCATGAGAATACAGGTTCCAAGATCAGAGGAGATTACATGATGTAATTCAGAAACTGGCATGCCACTGTGATGAGAGTTAGGGTGTCTTCTAGGGTTTGTAGTGCCCAGCAGTGGGGAAGTGCTGTCTCACAACTACCCACCCCAAACTGATCTGTGTTTTCTTCTTGACTTGTAGTTTGATTGGGCTCCCATCTGAGGAAGACTGGCCTCTGGATGTGTCTCTGCCACGTTGTGCCTTTGCTGTCCGCTCCGCACAGTCTGTTGAGAAGTTTGTGCCAGAAATAGACCCTCTGGGGGCACAGCTGCTTTTGGTAAGTTCCAGGAAGGTGGGTGGGAATAGGCAGGGGGTATCTGAGAGCAATTAAGAGCATGGCTTGTTCCTTCCTCTTCATACCAAAGCAACCCTGGATTGAATCTGAATGAGCTACAGATTTGCTGGATCCTCTTGGCTATGCTGCCAGCTACATCTCAGTCACAACTCCCTGCCCAGGTGGTTTTTAAAGGAGGCCTCAGTAAGGCAGTTCAGGCAGTTAACATTTATGCAACACTTTTCCCCTTGTGGTAGTAACCTTCCTTATATGTTTTTACAGGGCAAACAGCAGTGTGCTGGCACTGGAATGGCAGTCTCAAAGTGTTGGCATTAACCATTGGAAGAAAGGCAGGACAGGGATCCCACCCAAACCAACATCCAAGTAGTTTGGTGGAGAAGCATAAGTTTCTGCCAGTATAGTTGTGTTGGATTGGGGGGAAATTTCTTCTTCTTTGTTCCTTCCCCAGGTTAAACAGCAGTATAGAGGTTCCCTGACACAACTCCATCACCCCCAGCTAGTGATGGGCTGCTGCACAGCCCAGGTGCCCTTGTGCATCCCAGGAAGCAAAACCAGTGTCTGCCCCCAGTATAAAACTGTTCCGGTCACTTGGATACTTCCTTCTGTACATGCACAAAAAGTACTGACAGTGGCATAATGGGATGTGTGTGCGCGCCTCAGTTTCCTCTAGTCATGCATGTCATTAATTTCTGAATACACTCAGCAGCTTAGCCTAAACAAATAAAACCATTCCCAGATTATCTCTCTCACTTTTGGAAGGGGCTGGTGGGGAGCCTTTCATGATTAAAGAGAAACTCAGGCATACAGAAAACTAAATGGCTCTCGATTCATCTTTTTTGTGTCTTGTGTGTCTTTATACATTTATTGAGTGGATTTGAATTTTCAGATATCTAGAACAGGTCTCTTTCTCCCTCTGTTCCCCCTCACCCCACCTTCTGAGGTGGTCTGTACAATCTGAGGTGATAGTACAGTCCAATAAGAGTTTTGCTATGT